TATATATATATATATATATGCTCACTGTTTTTTAGAGCCTACCATAATGTTCTGTGTTTCCTTAACTTTCTATGGTCAAGTCCTGTGGTTTTATCTCCAACTACTAAAACAGAAGAAATAAAATGCAGATTCTTCTTGTAGATTCAGTTCAATTCAATTCAGGTTCATTTATACAACAATAAATCACAACAAAGGGACTTAAAGGCACTTTATACGACAAGGTAAAGACACTAGAGCGTTCTGGAGAAAGCCCTGACAATAAAATAACCCCCCACCCCCCCATAAGCAAGCACTCTGTGATGGTTGGAAGGAAAAACTCCCTTTTATCAGGAAGCAACCCCAGCATAACCAGGCTCAGGCAGGGCAGCCACCTGGCTGTTCAGGTAAATAAAATAAAATGCAAAAAACCCTCTGACAAAACCTCAGAAACTTTCCATATGAGCTCAGTCTTTGTTTGACTCTCAATAGAACAGAATGAGAATGGGGCGATGTGATGGGTTGGTAAACATGGAAATGGTAAAAGCTCAAGCTAATACAAGCCCTTTAATGAAAATGACAGGAAATGATTTATGGTACTCTGTAAGGCTCTCACCACACCTAAGAATGTAATAGAGACTATATGTACCAGTAGTTTTACATTCCAGTTTGCGCTTTCTAACAACGTGGGTTAAAGGTTAAAGCAGGTGGAAAAAGCAGGTAGAGCTTAAACAGTGAAAACATCAGTGGAAGGCTGAGCCCCCAAATCTAATACATGAATGCCAAACAACATAAAAAAAGGGCAGGGCTTTTGAAAGCTCTGCAGATCTATTGTAGTACAAGAAAAAACAAACAAGGCTTAAGCTCAAGATTTCAACATCAACTGTGATGGATTAATGATTACTACAGTTAACGATCACTGTATTGATGTTATATGTGAGTTAAAAAGGAAGGGAGTGGAGCCAGAGCTAAAATTAAAGATCTGATGCAATCAACTAGCTCAATAACGAGTTGAATTTCTCACAGCTATCAAAAATAATTTGTTCATTAGCTCTAATCAAAATGCATGGACTCAAAGAATGCATGCTCTTTGAACTTTCCAGATGCCAGAGTGACTCATTCCAGTTAGTCGAAACCAGTTTTACTATCTAACCACAGCCCGATGGGACAGTATAGCAGGAGACTTGCCTTTTACACTTCACTTGCCATCTATGGTGTATCAATACCAATATAGCAGGATGATGTCATCGAGGTGGACAATCTCCACACTCTGATTGTGAAAATTGTGTTACTTTAGTTCAGCTGACCCTGGCTCTTCCACTGTTAGGTTTTCATATCTGCTAGATCAGTGACAATTAGTCCTGGTTGTGCTCTGGAGGTCTGCTGAACAACAACTTAAAGCAGGTGGAGAATTGATTCACAAGATTCTACACCAGACTCACCGAGGCTGCAGACTAGAACCATGACTGCTGCTGCCAGCAGCAAATTCATAAAAAGGTTTATTTTTATCATACTGGGAATGAACAGGTATCGTGGGAAAGGTCCTGCCTTTCCCACAATACCTGCTTGACCCCACTAAAGAATCCAGATCTGTGGGAAACTGTGCTGGTTATCAGCCAGTTAGGCCAGCAATAGAAAGCAAAGCCAAAACACAACAATCACATTACTCTATGCCTGCATGCCCTGAAATAATGTAACCTCGTTATCATATCAGGGATAAATGAAGTGCCCAAGCTTTGTTTTCCACTTCCCAAGCTTCTATCTTTAAAATAGACAGATCGATGGTGAAAGCCGCTTCGTCAAATTACAGTCTTGTTTAGCTGAATACCAACATTTCACGTAGGCGTAAATGGAAAATGATGCACTGTCTAGGTAGACTTTTCTATCAGCAGGAGGTGTAACAGCCAACATACTTAACCTGTTAACATGCCCTGAGCTTAACAGCGAAAATAACCCTCTTCTACAGTGCAACAAGGAAACTGCAAGTCTAATAAACAAGTGCATATCTGACCTGAAATTTACACATGAACTCCTGTGTTTCCCTCTAAGCGATAAAAGAATATCAGGTGGAAGTTATTATCGTCCCCGCGCTGCTGCTCTTCGGCACCCTGGTCACCTTAGTGCCTCTGTTTATACTGAGGTATTGCTGTGATCGTAATCGGACACGGGTCAGAACGGCCCAGCACTACCACAGCTCATCACATAGACAGACAGAGAGGCATCACCAGCAACAGCATAGCACCAACCACCACCACAGTCATCGCACCAAGCACCAACATCACAGATCTCATCTGCAGGGCATTGATGGTGAGCCAGCATGCAGAAGTCTCTTTGTGCACATTTAATCAATATTTTAACTTTTTTCATCTTTACATGCACATCTGCTTAATGTCCACTGGTCTTTCCTTAAACAGCGCCCCCTGGCATCAACCCACTGGAACATGAAGAGCTGCCAATGTCTGTTACACAAGTGCGGCAGAATGTCAGGCCAACGATGGCTGTAGCACCACAGAGGTCCACAGAAAGGCATCATGAAGCCTTCAGCCAGGTTGCTGCACTGCCGCAGACTTTCTCCATCCACCCTAATGACACAGTCAACTTCTACAGAGCACGCACGGACAACAAGAACGTCGTGCTGAGGGTGCTGAAAGGTAAACTGAGCTGCTTGAACCAAGTTTTGGTTTTGCAAAGTATACCTGCAAAATGGCTTACAAACAAGGGTTTTCCGTTTTTTGTGTCCAAAATGCTTTTCAAAGTCAAAAATGATAAATTATTGACAGTAACTGGAAATGTTAAGTCTAACTCTCTTACCAAATATTTATTTTTCCCCAGAAACAGCCACCAGCAGTGAGAAACAGAAGTTTTTGGGGTTTGCTTCCTTTGTGTCTGGATTGGGGCCGCATCCCTTCATACCTGCGCTGCTCGGCGTTATGTCAGCGCAGTCGCCTTTAGTCATGGTGGTGGAAGAGCTACAGCAGAGAGACCTGCTGGGCTTCCTGTGGAGATGCAGACAGGTAGAGCAACCTATTAGTTATTCATGATGCTGAGCATGCTCTGGGAGTAAAGTTTACAGTGCAGTAACAAGAATTGCCACAGTGCATGCAAAGTAAAAGGATCAATAACACAATTAAATATAAAACAATAACATTATTTAGTATTTAGTATTTAGTTCCAAATTATAATGTAATGGTTTCTCAAGTTTAAAATAGCTAATTGAGCAACAAAACAAGAAAAATAAATTAAGTCACAGTTTAATGGTAAAATACATCATTCAACCCAAGAGTTTGGCTGAAAACCTTTTGAGGTTAAACATAAAAAACACTATTTACCAACTAAACATAGTAAACGGGATAAATACAATATTAATCACATATTATATAGAAGGATAATGTTTAGCTTATGAACTCTAAACTTAATGGTGACTGAAGTAATTACAGCCATCTGCCTGTGAGGGGCAGTATAGTGCAACGTAAGCTGTTTCTGAAAAGATTTGAATAACCTGACAGTTACAGTGTCCTCGTCTAGTGGTGTACGGTTTAGGATAGGAGCTAATTATGAACATCCATAAAGAGAGATGAAAGATCTCAGAGCTTTTTATCAAAGTGAATACTCACTAAGACTGATTGTTTATAGTAACATATCTACTTTCTGAATGTAACGAGTCTGACACATTTACATCTTTCTCCCACTGAAGGATAACTCAGGTTTACAGTCTTCCTGTGGCATGACAGAGAAGAGGATCTTCACCATGGCAGCACAAGTGGCCTCTGCTCTGGTTGGTTAAACAGCTGTCTGCCCTTCCAACAGTCTGCTTCACGATCTTTGAGCAAACTGCTTCCCAAGAAAACTTTATTTGTAAAGCACTTTAAAAACAGCAACTACAACTATGGATTCAGTGAAAGCATAAATACAGTATAAATTATTACACACAGTGCAAAACAAATATATCTGAGATGCATTCATAAGAACAAGAAAACACATATTTTAGAAGTGTGCCAAAAACTTGTTCAAACTAAAAACATTACATAGAAATCACATTTTTACACCCAAATTTGAGCCGGCAGACTGAACTTCACTGAGAAATCAGAAGTTAACCAAGCAAACATTCAGCCCCTAAGCGCTGGATGTTAATGTTGTGAAGTCTGGCTTATGGTTTTATTTCTTTTATTTATGTATTTGTAGTAATGGACATCTCCTAAAGGCCCTCGTGCTCACTAACTCTGAAATTGTCTGAACATCTTCTAGGACTACCTGCACAGTCAGAACTGTATCCATGGCAACGTGGCAGCCCGCAGCGTTCTGGTTGGTGGAGACATGACAGCTAAGCTGTGGGGGTTCGGCCCGGCCCACCGCAGGAGAACCCAGGGCAGTTCAACGGGAGAAGATACAGTGACTAAGAAGTGGCAGGCGCCTGAAGTGTTGGCCATGAGACCCATCACTAAGAGCAGCGACGTGTGAGTGTCCTCTGTGAGAATAAAAGATTCCCGTCAATGGACAGAGTTGTCAAAGACTGATTCATGTCCCAGTCCATCCCTGGATGCTAGAAGTCCAAACTAACAGCACATTTCACTGTGTTTACACTCAGTAAGGTAAAAGGAAGAGCAAGAAAACTGACATGCCATTCTTGAACTTTTCTAACAGATGGTCCTTTGGCATCCTCATCTATGAAATGGTCACATTAGGTAAGTATCCTTCTTTCTTTTTTTAAAGAAAAAAGAAAATTAAAGGGTGATGAAATTCCCCATTAGTTCTGTGACATGTAAGGATTTTATAGTCTCTCTCCTTTTACTGGAGTTTTGGGTGGAGAGAAATTTTCTAAACCTGATACTGTATACAAGTGTGTTTCTCATAATTCAATACTGGTGTTATGCTAAAAAGTGATTTCCCATATTTAGACTTCTATAAATGACTTTCTGGCCTATAATGTATGAAACATATGTCAGTGTGTCCCCCATGAATGATATCAAGTCACCTTAAAAAACAGACAACATTCCTGTAGGGGCCAAAAAGGACTGGAAAACAGTCCCTTTTGCAAAAACAGTTATTTTAAGAATAGATAAATGTATTAAACTCTATTTATTTATAAATCCTATTCACTAAAGTCACTTGATCAATACACACATTAAAAAACCCAAACAATGGAAATTACCTTTCTGGCACAACACTGGCTGACATGGTCAGTGAGTGTGCTCTGTGACAAGATTGTATACTCCAACCTTTCAGGTGACCCACCATTTGCTCAGGTCCCGTCGTCTGAACTTCTGCAGCATCTCCAAAGAGGGAGTCACCTCAAACGACCGGACACCTGCTCCAACTCACTGTAAGAGCAACAGCAGACCAGCAGTTTGCATCACTCACTAATCATCAGCTTATACAAAGATGTCCAACCTTTAGCCCGTGACTGTTTAGGAGACGTTTCTGAGCTTTGTTCCCCCCCCATGTGGGTTGAAAAAAAGAATTCAGTCTTTTCGTTCAGGTGTGCCTACACTGGGCTGCCTCCACCCACCCACCCTTACACCATCAATCAGCAAATTAATTTATTTTTGAGTGCATCTTCTTTTACAGTCTCACACGTCTGAACAGTCAGCGTTTGGGTCTGCTTGGTAAACTTTGGCTGTATACTAATAATCAGAAGCAGAACCTGAATGTTTTAGCCATGTATCATTCATACATTTACTACAATATTTGCATATTTTGCATCATTGTAGCCTTTTAACGATTTTTTTGACGTTTTCTATGGTCATTGAATCTATTTCCATTTAGTTTAAACATTTCAGTTAATATTTAGGGATAATTTATCCCTACAGACACGATACTTTTACCTGCTTCTTCCAGTTTTACTAGCTTTTGGTCACACTTCTTTCCATTTTTGTTACCTATTTTCCGACGTCTCAGTGGAAATATTATGTTTAGCTATCAGTTTTTCATACCAGTATTCGTATGCATACGGTTTCACAGTTGTTTTCTGTTTTCACGCTGGTGTAGGTACTCCATTATCAGGTCATGCTGCCACTTCAAGGCCAAGAGCCGGCTCTCCACGTCGGAGCTGATTAGGATGCTGAAAGCCGGGGAGAGCTCAGCCAATGGGAGGACAGCTCTCAGAGTGACTGAGCCATTCATATTCGAGAAATACTTGAGAGAGGCGGGGTTTGCAGAGGCGTACAACTATGCTGTGCTCTGATTGGCTGGTTGTCATCAGAGGTAGTGGCACGCCGATTTTCATGAAGGACCGAGGACTGGTGCAAGAACTCTCGCAGAAACGTGCACATTATAATTGTTGTTTATAACGTTTTTGTATTTGGTAGTATTGTAGGAAAACGTGCATGGCACAAACACTTTATATTTTAAAGAATAATATATTATTCAGTGTAAAAAATACATTTACTCTGTCAAAATTATTGCCAAGAGATATAAAAATAATTTTTTTAAAAAAATGTAATGCATGCTTTAATTTTATCGATGAGGCCAGCTCCTACTTGATCTCTAGATTGCATCACTACAGGTCAGAGGTTTAAAGGATGCAAAAAGACTAGCACAAAACTGCCACTGATTTAGGAGGCATGTGTGACCAGCACAAGAAAGAGAAAAAAGAAAGAAAGAAAGAAAGAAAGAAAGAGGTGTACATAAAGTTATTGTTTCTTTATTCAAGTCATCCACCTGGAAACTGGAGCTGGGTGCATGTGTTCCTGATTGAGAGGTGTGCTAACACAGGCAGCTGTGGCCAGTCTCACCTCTGCTAACTGGAGTCAGTGCCGTGGACCTCACAACTGTTTCTGTACTGTGGATGTGCCCACAATCTTTATTTATTTATTTTAATTGAATTATCTGAATTTTAACGTATTTTCAACTGCTATCGGGAAGAAGCACCTTATAGATTCAAACCAGTTCTATTTCAGGTGTTCTATATAATAAAATAAAATATCAGAACCTAAAAATATGTGTTTTTGCACATAAGCCTGTTAGGTTAGGATCATGAGCTGTAAGGTTTATCAACACAACTTGTTAAAGCCAAACTACTGTATGGTCCCAACATGGTCTCTACCGACTCCGAAACAGCAACACGGCTGAAGCCAAAACTAACCACGGAGCCTTTAAAATGGCTGTAGCTACTGTGATCGTATGACATCATGACTACATTCATTTTTCATTTACAGTCTATAGTTTATCACAGCGGTCTCCAACCTTTTTTGCGCCATGGACCAGTTTATGCCAGACAATATTTTCATGGACCGGCCTTTAAGGGGTCGTGGATAAATACAACAAAATAAAACTAGTACAGGTACCGAAAAAAAAGAAAATTTATTCATAACACACGTGAAAAGACCCAGGAAAACAGAGTAAACGATAACAAAATAACGCTGAAAACCAATAAAAACCCTGAAAACCATACATTTCACACCTGAGCCTCAACTCTCGCGGCCCGGTACCAAACGACTCACGGACCGGTACCGAGGCCCGGGGTTGGGGACCGCTGGTTTATCACATCTGGGACAACAAACCTGAAGGGACTTTCTTTAAGACAGCACAACACCTCAGCCTGAACTCAAGCCGGGGAGAGGAGTTAAAAACACAAACATTAAAGTTTCAATGATGCAAACTGCCCACTGATGATCTGCACTTGTTACACTTGGAAAGCAACAGTGCAAACCGAAACCATTACTCAGGCTAACAAACAACAAAAAAAAGCATCACAGCTTTAAAACAGTTTGATTATTTATTTGCATGATAGTATTAATTACCTCTTCTTGTGAAAACCAGCCCCTCTAGATTTTGCAGATTTTGGAAATTATTGCAAGCAAAGACATTTGATTCCAAGTGGCTTCCTTATTTGTATGTATACAGATTTATATATAAAAGAACATTTTTTGCTGAATTCACTGTTCTTCTGTGAGAAAAGTGCTACTTTTTGGGATGTTGAAGACTAAACGAACAATGCTGCAATGGTCTGATTTTGGACAAATGTTGTACAGGTAATCACAGCTGCATTTGTGGCTCACCTCACTTGAAATGAGGCGAAATTCGTTTTTTTTTTTTTTGGCGTTTAGAATGAAGATTTAAAGACTCCAAAATCCTGGGGAAAGTGAAATATAAGCAAACATCATCAAGATTATTACCCTTTTTAAAAAAGAAAAAGAAAAACAAAGTACTGGAATAGCCACAGTCACTAACAATAAAGCCAAAGATAGCTAGCTAGCTAGAAAGGTAAATACTGTTGGTAGTTACACGCTATGTGACAAAGCTATGAGGAAGACAGCAAGTTGATCCTTGATCAAAGTAGCTACTATTCAGTCACGCTTTTTGGGAAAAGCAACACATTTCATTGCTTAATCGAGAGTTGTAAAAAAGTAAGCGCAGATATAAAACAAGGAATGATATGAAAGCAGTAAAAACCGACAATCCTCATCTAAACCTATCGTTGTAGAGACTAGTGAGAAAGGCCACGAGGTTCACAGAGAGAGAACATGAGAAAAGTCCTACAGTAAAAAGCTTCAAACAAGGCAGTCCAGCAAACAAATGTGCATTTAAATAGAAAGGCAAACTTTACACTTATTACAGTATAGCTTCAAGGTTCACTCATTCACACAGTCATTCATTCATTCAGGCGTGATGTCTTATTTCTCCCACATCCATCGTAGGTCCACGTGTGGCCAGCAACTTCTCTTGTTCACGAATGCAACTTAAAGACACTTTAAAATGAACATCTTATTGTCAGAACTCCTCTCTGACAGCATCTCTCCACAAAACCAAACCGGTGAACTTGCCTTGTAAGTGCACTCATGCAGACCAGGAGCAGCTGGTGGTACCATTTGAGTAATCTCACAAACTGCTGACAGGTGAATAATCACAGAGTTGACGTGAACTTCTCTGGTAAAAAGCTTAAAAACAGTGAAAAGCATTCAGCAGTCGAGCTGATGTTCTCTGGATATAAAACAATACGGTAAAGATGTGAGAAAAAGTTATGCAACGTCCGTATTTTTACTTGAAGTATGAAATGCTCTTTGAACCTTGAGGGATTAGGGTTTCATTTGGACTCTGGTGTTTCTGCACCCAGTACCCTGTACTCTCACAGTACCCTGTAGCGCAAAGAATAGGCTGCCTTCAAAATAAAAGTGCCATTGTATACTCTTCTCAAATAATTAGAATGCTGGAAGTACGCAATGAAATTCATGTCTTTGAAGGAACGCTGAACTACATAAGAAAAAGATTTGTGACTTCACTTTACAAAGGAAGTGCTATAGAAGTGCTTCCAAAGGTCTTCCTTCCAAATTCCTGTGCAAAACTAAGCACAGCTGTTTTCTTCTGTGTGTATCTTCAGACTTTTAAAGGAAGTTTAACGAAACGAAAATAAATCACAGCCTCGGTCTACGGTCAGAAAAAATAACGAGCAAGTACTTCAGGTTCAACGAGTCTCGTTTGCAATTAAAATACATTCAAAACCTTCATTTACATTGATTTTGAGCAGAATTTGGTGGAACGTGCACCTTCATCGAAATAAAATCGCACATTTGAAGGATTTTTACAACTTGTGCGAGAATCTGATGTGAAACGGGATGAGATTCCACTTCTGCAGTCCCAGAGTCTTTGCCGTGTTTGGGAAATGAACTGTACTTCAAACATTCACCTGCAGGACTCTCGAGCTCCATATCTGACCCGCAGGCTGGTGGTGGATGCCCGGGGGGGCTTCACTTTTAAACTTTGCGGATTTGTGGTAAAAACACCGGTCAGTCTCTTAGGCTGTTGATGTGAGCGCAGATCTTGAGGGCAGGGCCAAGCTTGATGTTCATGGTGGACATGAGATGCTCCTCCTTCAGCAGCAGCAGCGCCTGTCCATCAATTTCCTGCGACAGGAACTGGGAGGCGAGATCCTCGCACCCTGAGAGGACGACGGATAAAAGCACAGGTGGACAAAAATGCAAAGGTTGAAAATTATGGTACATTAACATCAATTGTTGCACTTGAATATAAAAGCAGAGCAACACAAGATAAACATCAGCAGTAGCCAGAAACCAGCTAATTCAGGAGCACTGCCATTCATTTTCCTCTTTACCCCCACTTCCATCATCTATCAGTTCAGGAGTTCACAGATTCCACAGAGGGAGAGACGCTGGAAGGGCTTTAAAAATACTGGTGGCCACCATGCTACCCCTCTGCCTCCTAGCACACACCTCTATGGTGCCAATTTCAACATCCTGCATCCCCTTGCCCTCGAGTTAACTCATTCAGAAGATAACTCGACCTCTGACCTTGACCGTGAAGTCGAGCCTTTTATCTTTATGTGAATCAGTGCTGCATTATAAGATCAAAAATCA